ATCCCTGTCCCCTATCCCCGTCCCTACCTGTCCCGATGAAGAGCACCTCGTAGGTGTCCCCATGTCCCCATCCCTGTCCCCATGTCCCCATCAGTGTCCCCTGTCCCCACCTGTCCCGATGAAGAGCACCTCGTAGGTGTCCCCATGTCCCCATGTCCCCTGTCCCCACCTGTCCCGATGAAGAGCACCTCGTAGGTGTTCCCGTCCAGGCCGGCCACGCGATCCACCACGAGCTGGGTGAAGTTGGAGTCCCTCTTGAGCAGCAGGGGCCGGCCGCGCTGCGGGGCCACGGCCTCGTCCATCAGCGGGTGCTTCTTGGCGAAGTTGAGCGTGTTGTCGGGCAGCTCCAGCGAGCTGCCAAAGCCGTTCTGCCGGTGCCAGTCCGTGATGCACTGGGGACAGCGGGGACAGCTCAGGGCTGGCACGCGGCCCCCGGCCACGCCGGGGTCCCAAACTGTCACTAATCATCTCAAATTGTCCCAAATCATCGCGGCCGGAGCCCAAACCATCCCAAATGGTCTCAAATCAACCCAAATCATCACAGCTGGAGACTAAATCATCCCAAATCATCACCCCAAATCAACCCAAATCATCCCAAATCATCACAGCTGGAGCCCAAATCATCCCAAATCATCATCCCAAATCAACCCAGATCATCACAGCTGGAGACTAAATCATCCCAAATCATCACCCCAAATCATCCCAGATCACCCCAAATCATCCCAAATCACCCCAAATCATCACAGCTGGAGACTAAATCATCCCAAATCATCATCCCAAATCAACCCAAATCATCACAGCTGGAGACTAAATCATCCCAAATCATCATCCCAAATCATCCCAAATCACCCCAAATCATCACAGCTGGAGACTAAATCATCCCAAATCACCCCCCCAAATCATCCCAGATCACCCCAAATCATCACAGCTGGAGCCCAAATCACCCCAAATGGTCTCAAATCAACCCAAATCATCACAGCTGGAGCCCAAATCATCCCAAATCATCATCCCAAATCAACCCAAATCATCACAGCTGGAGACTAAATCATCCCAAATCATCACCCCAAATCATCCCAGATCACCCCAAATCATCCCAAATCACCCCAAATCATCACAGCTGGAGACTAAATCATCCCAAATCATCATCCCAAATCATCCCAGATCACCCCAAATCATCCCAAATCACCCCAAATCATCACAGCTGGAGACTAAATCATCCCAAATCATCACCCCAAATCATCCCAGATCACCCCAAATCATCCCAAATCATCACGGCCGGAGCCCAAACCATCCCAAATGGACCCAAATCATCCCAAATCATCACAGCTGGAGCCCAAATCATCCCAAATCATCATCCCAAATCAACCCAAATCATCCCAAATCATCACAGCTGGAGCCCAAATCATCCCAAATCATCATCCCAAATCAACCCAGATCATCACAGCTGGAGACTAAATCATCCCAAATCATCACCCCAAATCATCCCAGATCACCCCAAATCATCCCAAATCACCCCAAATCATCACAGCTGGAGACTAAATCATCCCAAATCATCACCCCAAATCATCCCAGATCACCCCAAATCATCCCAAATCATCACGGCCGGAGCCCAAACCATCCCAAATGGTCTCAAATCAACCCAAATCATCACAGCTGGAGCCCAAACCATCCCAAATGGTCTCAAATCAACCCAAATCATCACAGCTGGAGCCCAAATCATCCCAAATCATCACCCCAAATCATCCCAGATCACCCCAAATCATCCCAAATCACCCCAAATCATCACAGCTGGAGACTAAATCATCCCAAATCATCATCCCAAATCATCCCAGATCACCCCAAATCATCCCAAATCACCCCAAATCATCACAGCTGGAGACTAAATCATCCCAAATCATCACCCCAAATCATCCCAGATCACCCCAAATCATCCCAAATCATCACGGCCGGAGCCCAAACCATCCCAAATGGTCTCAAATCAACCCAAATCATCACAGCTGGAGCCCAAATCATCCCAAATCATCATCCCAAATCAACCCAAATCATCCCAGATCATCACAGCTGGAGACTAAATCCTCTATTGGGGGCACAGCTGGATCCCAATCCCTCTCAGGAAGGCACATGGGATCCCAGATCCTCTTAGGAGGGCACAGCTGGATCCCAGCCCCCCAGAGATCACCTCCAGCCCCAGGGACAGATCCCAGCCCCCCAGGGATCACCTCCAGCCCCACAGAAGGATGCCAGCCCCCCAGAGAACACCTCCAGCCCCACAGACAGATCCCAGGGATCACCTCCAGCCCCATGGACAGATCCCAGAGATCACCTCCAGCCCCACAGATGGATCCCAGGGATCACCTCCAGCCCCACGGACAGATCCCAGCCCCCCAGAGAGCACCTCCAGCCCCACAGGTGGATCCCAGAGCCCCCCCAGCCCCAGGGCAGGCCCCGGGCACTGGGCTCTCACCGCGCCGGGCCGCGGGCTGGGCACCTCGCCCGAGTATCGGCCCCATTTCTGCGCCTGCTCCCGGTACTCCTTGTAGGGCCCCTCGAAGGCTTTGCGCACCTCCAGGATGTGGTAGCGGCAGATGGCAGAGACGTCCACGTCACCCCTGCGGGCACAGCGCCAGGACACTGCCACACGGGCACCGTGGCCACCACGGGTACCGGGACATGGCCACCATGGCCACCATGACCACCATGGGCACTGGGACATGGCCACCATGAGCACCATGGGCACCATGGGCACTGGGACATGGCCACCATGGGCACCATGGGCACCATGGGCACTGGGACATGGCCACCATGGGCACCATGGGCACTGGGACATGGCCACCATGGGCACCGTGGCCACCACGGGCACTGCGACATGGCCACCATGGGCACCATGGGCACCGGGACATGGCCACCATGGTCACCATGGGCACTGGGACATGGCCACCATGAGCACCATGAGCACCATGGGCACTGGGACATGGCCACCATGAGCACCATGGGCACTGGGACATGGCCACCATGGGCACCGTGGCCACCACGGGTACCGGGACATGGCCACCATGGCCACCATGGGCACTGGGACATGGCCACCATGAGCACCATGGGCACCATGGGCACTGGGACATGGCCACCATGAGCACCATGGTCACCATGGGCACTGGGACATGGCCACCATGGCCACCATGGGCACCATGGGCACTGGGACATGGCCACCATGGGCACCATGGGCACTGGGACATGGCCACCATGGGCACCGTGGCCACCACGGGCACTGCGACATGGCCACCATGGGCACCATGGGCACCGGGACATGGCCACCATGGCCACCATGGGCACCACGGGTACCGGGACATGGCCACCATGG